TGTTTTAAAGGGTTAAGTTGATTTTATGCATGGATGTATTTGTTCTCTTTGCTGGTTCTATTTGGTTACTTTTGCATGTTAGAATATTTATTTTCTACCATTACTATTACTTTCTAATAGTATTTTCTCCTCATATTTTTACCCAAAAACTATTTTTATAACTTTAAGTACCATGCATATTTGACATCCAACCAAAGTGACTGTTCTAACCTAAGTTAAGATTCCCATATTTTTTGCAAAAACTTTTTGAATTACAATTGAGATGCTTGGCAGGATGTGGGATGGGGCAATGTCTTCATTGAAATTTGGAAAATCAATGTTTTTAGTGGAAAGCACAAGCCTACATAGAACTAGTTTAGGCGTTGAATTCTTGAGATTTTGAGTGTGGTCATACAATTAAATGTCACCAATGATTATAACAAGTGAGCAATTGATTATCCATTCTTAACAAGAGATGGTAGGGTTAATGCAACCAATCTATCTCAATGATCTAAAGATGGTAGGGTTAATACACACTAACCTGTCTCAATAAAATTTGCATTCCAAGGTCAATTTTTTTCCACCAATGATCTTTCACTACAAAGAAAGAAAATCATTTTGAAACTTCCATCTCTAGTTTCATATTTATTTCTTCTAATGAAATCCATTGTACAAAAGAAATAAGTTAGAGTGAAATTCAATAATCCATTTAGTTATATATCTATGACTCTGTACAATAACAACTTGTAACAATTGACTATAAGGGACAAGAAGAATACATACATGTTCACTTCCCTATTTTTAACTATATTATGAGTTAGCAAGATGAGTATTCACTTATGTGGTTTATATAATTTATTTTAGACATCAAACATATCCATAATGATTAAAGAGGCTAAACTTTTTTGATAAAAAATTAATCACATTAAAAAATATATTTTTTCCACATCTGCATCAATATCTTACTACTATAATTCAAATGTTTGAGTACATCTTTCAAAAAAAAAAAATTTTGTTACACCTCATTTCAGTGTGATAATGAGTTTTTGTATGTCAAACAGCTTACCTATTTGCATGTGGCTAAAGACTCCTAATAGACTCAAATCCAGCGCTATATGAATTGTGAACATCTCATATGGTTAGTTTAAAGTTGGAGGTCAAAATGCTAATTTTAAGAGTAGAATGATTTCTGACTTTATGTTGCTTGAGTTGAAGATTTTCTTTCTTTGTTGGTGATTTTAAAGGTATTAAGTTTCATATTTTTATTATTCATCTTTTTTTATAAGTTTTTTGGAGATACTTATAAGTTTCATAAAAAGAGATATTCTTACCATTCCTTTCTTTCTTCATTGCTATAATATGTTGAGCTTCATTTTTATTGTTGTCTAGCTTGACATTCTCACACATAGGGAGAGCATTTAAGTCCAACTAAATGATTCTGCTATTTCTACTATCTTTTTCATTGGCTGGGGCATTTAAATTAAAAGAGAGAAAATCACTTTTCCATAGTGGAGACGAACATTTGTGCTTTTCTTTTTCTTTTTTTCTTTTTCAATTTTATGGTTTGACTCCCTCTTAAAGGGAGCTAACTTATGCAAAATTCACCTGCTAGTGTTTTTTAACTCTCAACAAAAATTTAGCAATTTTTTTGGTTAAAATATATGTAAAGTAAGGGAGAGAGAAATATTCAAAAAGTGATATTATATTGATTGTACTTTTTGTCCTTTTTATTGAGAGTTTACTTTAAAATTTTTAATTATAATTATTTTTTGTATTTATGTTGTATAATATTGATGAAATTGATAGAAATAACTTATAAAGGAGTAATTTTTATATAGTCCACCCATATAAAGTCTTACAACTTGAGTAGCCTATATCTTCCAATCTTCTCCCAACATACATCTCTCTGTGACTCATTCTGATTAATCTTCTCGTAGGCAGATTAACGCTGAAAAACTCCATTTTCAACGCCAGCGAACCTCAGTATCTTCGTTGATTTCAACCCCATTTTGGACATTTTCCCAGGTTGTTTTAATCCCACCCAGAAATTAGAGCCCGCACGGTCCTGATTAATTTTAGGAATGACGTCATCCCACAATGATATTTAGATCGAACAACCTTTGCCCAAAATTCATCTCGTCGTTTCAACAAGACCCCCCCAACTTTCATTAGCAGAGCATGATTTTGATTTTGTGCATGTCTAAGCCCCAGACCTCCTCTCTTTTGCTTTACAGATTTCATCCCAAGCACCAAATGTATTTTCTTTCCGTTCACACTAGCACTAGCCCAAATAAAATTACGATTCTGGAGCATTGCACATGTTCACGGGAAGTAGAGAAGTCTGCATGATGTGTTCAAGTATGGCAGAGGTAACTGAGGACCAGCCAAGGACAACCTACTCGGGTTCCATTTTTTCAATCTAGACTTCACCTTGTTAAGCGTATTTAGAAATGTTTCCTTGGTCACTTATTTACTCTATTTATAAATTTGGATTCAATGACTGTATTTAATACATGTATTGAATGTTTGTATCATCTGAACCATTAAAATTCAGATCAATAGTCATGAATTGATACTTCACTTAATATTAATAAATAAATAAATTTATTTTAATTGGTTAATCTGAATTTTAATGATTCAGATGATACAAACATTCAATACCTGTATTAAGTACAGTTACTGAATTCAAATCCTTCTCTCTGTCTTCATGTATAACTTCTAGAACCATTTTTTGTTCATAAATATAAAAGGTTGTTAGCATTTTTTATACCCTTATTAAATTGAAAAAAAAAAATACTCTCGTTAATTTACTTTAAAAAAGAGATTCATTTTTTATTTATAATAATTAAGGACAAAATTAGAATATTGTTATGCTTTCAATTAAATAACTAACTTTTATTGATTTATTGTGTGATTCGCTTAAAAATATCTTACTCTCTCTATTAAAAAATGTAAAGCATTTTTAATCAAATCTTACCCCAATAAAGTAGTTACTTACTTTTAAATTAACCTTATTTTTTCATATTTACTCTTATTAAATATTTTATAATAAATATAAAGTTATTATTAATAGCAGCAGTCTTGAAAAAAAAATAATTATATCTTAAAATATTTAAAATATCTTATATTTTTTAACATTTATTTTTTATAAAATGTTTTATATTTTCGGACAAAGAGGTCCATACAGGGACGGAAGGAGCATGTAGTACAGGCACGCCTAGGAGGTACTTACCCAAGTCTGCGGTTTGAACAAATGCCAAGGAAGTGTTAAGCTCGCTGCGCCTGTTATGATTAATATTACTAGAGGAAAATACCCTTGTCTTAGAAGAGTTGATCTTCATACCTGATGCCTCGCAGAAGATCTTCGGGCAATTATTTATGATCCCTACTTGCTCCGATGAAGCTTCTTCAAAGAGTATAATATCATCTGTAAAGAATAAATGAGAGATAGGCGGTCCAGTCTTATGCAACCTGATAGGCTTCCAATTTATCGTGTCTTTCTTTCTTCTACTTCTCCTTTTGTTTTCTCTAAATATGGCTTTCAAGTTTTCATTCTCAGATAATAACTATCCCTCTCTCCAAAATGAAGACTCAAATTTTCATCCATGAAGCCATCAATTGCTTATCTAGGTAGGTCCGCCAGTGCCCGCACAATAGAATTGGAGAAAGTTCGATGGTGCTAAGTGTGTGATTTTTCTTTTGTTGTTTTTCAATGGACGGTGCAGATTCATTGTTAATTGACGGCTGTGATGTTTTTTTAAATAATCACGCGGTGCGCATCTCGTGCTGCTTACATCCTGAGGTGCAAGCTGCAAAAAAGCCCTTCGCTGTTTTCAATCGTCTTTGTCAGGCGAGAAGAAACCAAAGCATCTCTTTATTCTTCTTTTCACTGTTTTCCTTTTGTGCTTCCACACTCTTCCTTTCATCAATTCATGTCGATACTGTGGAGGTCGAAGATAACTTGTAACTCTTATTAATCTCCGTGATATGCCTTTTCAGGTAATGCAGTCTATTCCAAGACGAATCCCTCACTGTTTTATGCAATTCACTGAAGTGTTGCTTTTGAGTTTGCAATTTGGTTGGTTCTTGTTAGAGCAAATTGGTAAAGTTCTTTTGTTATATATATATATATATATATTAATTTTCACTTGTAGGACGGGTTTAATGGAAGGGTGCAGTTTAGGGACTTGCGAATTAGAATTATTAGAAATACCCATGATTTAATTTCCCTTCTGGCCTTTGTCTTGTGCTCTTTTCATATTTTCGTTGATGTTCTTGTTTGATTAAACTAGATAATTAATATGTTTTGTTTGCAATTTGCAGTTAGATTATTGTTCAGTTCTGGAAAAGTTTATTCGGGGTTCCCAAACTCTACGTTTTATGGGTTTGGGGCGGTTTCATAGGCTTCTACTTTTTCTTTCTTTCTTTCTTCTATGCCTGTTAATTATACTACGCTTCAGATGTTGTTGGAGTTACCAGTCATAATTTTTTTTATCATTTGATGAAGATTTGGAATTTTGACAGTAATTCATCCGTGACGGATAAATTAAGGAAACTGAAAAAGTTTCTAGGTTTATGGTTTTGTACTTTTTTTGACAGAGTGAATTTCTTCATTTATTTTCATTTTTTATTCATCTAACTAATATGGTACTTCAACTATTGCTTTAAATTTGAATGTCCTAATTGCTCCCAGATAATCTTCTGAACATAATATAGTAGTATTTAGATGTACAGATGATTTGCATGCAAGGATTGTGGGTGTGGGTTTAGTAGTTTGTGAGGTTGCTAGTTAGGTTAGTAGCTGTTAATGCTTCTATACTGCCCATCGAGGCTCTATAAATGGGCCGTAATACTAATGTAAGCATTATGAAGTGAATCATAGAGTGAATTCTTTAAAAGTCTGTACCATAAAAAATTCTGATTCATCACGTTTACATACAAATTTTTTCTTCTGTATTTTATTGAATTTTTTCCATGTTATTTATATAATACTTGAGATCTGTGATTGAAAGGTCATAAAAGGCAAGAGATGCATAGATTTGAAGTTATGGAGCTAATAACTGGATGACAACATCATATAAGAAGCTTCTTCGCTATACTTAGTTTTCAGTATTGACCTGACAGAACAGGCAGGTCAATGAAGATAACCTTTTAGAGTGATGTAGTGATCTTCTCTTTAAAATGGTAACAGTTGTAGAAACTGCAGTGTTCAATGTGTTGGCCCATAAGATGATTATACCTGAGATGCTGAAATTTGAGACTTGATGATTTTCATTACATGTTTCCATATTTCTTGGAATATTGGGAAATAGTGAGCTCTTTAATTCATTCAATGGAATATAGGATATAGGATTCAGATAAATTTGATCATTGAAATATTTTTTTTTTTAAATGTTTGATTAGATTAATTGTTGGTCCAGTTAGTTTTGAAGGACTTACAATGATACAATCATGATCATAATTTCATGAGCATCATTAATTGAAGTCATTGACTTTCAAAATTGATTATCATTTTTCCTACCTTCAATATCTAGGCTAGTCTACTGTTCGTTCTGTATAAACTTAAAGGCTGAGAGAAAAGATGGTTAGAAAATAATACTATTGAGGAATTACTGGTGCAATATGGACATTTATTTGATAGAAGTAGTAAAATTCTTATCTATGACGCATTTTTTGTTCTTTTGTTCTTTGGTTTTGGCAGCATCTCTGAGGAGTTGCTACTGTGGGATCTTGAATCCAATGGTTCAGGTTCAAGTCATCAATTTCTTGTATTTCATGCCATGGCTATAATGGTGTCATTAAACAACAGGTCACAAGTATCATTGAAATTGTCTCTGAATTCAATCAAGCAAACAATACAAAGGAAATTTAAGAAATAATTTTACTGAATAAATCTGGTTCACAAATGGTTGTGCCCTGGGTCTGTTACTGGTCAAAGCTTTTGTTTGACATGTTTTTATTCATTTCTATAGAATAATTACTGATAATCTGTTTAATAGTTTTCAAACTAATTGTCATTTTTAGTAGTTTGAATATATAGGGCAGATTATTTTTTATTAGAGGTTACATGTATCGTGTATTTGTTTAGACACTCAATAGGACTTTTGGCGATGGATTTTTTAAAGGGATGGGGCTGGAGAAGCCAGGCTGATAAATTTTTTTTGAAGATGGTTAATAATAGCAACAACTGCTGGATTTCAGAACCACAGCATTGCCCATTATTGGATGTAAAATGAGAGAATCCATTTGCTTTATTTGGCTTCTCCTTCAGTTCAGCTTTTCCCTTTCGTTTTTTTTTTTTATCTATTCTATCAATGTATAGTGCTATTGGTAGACATTTTGTTTTCCTTTATGTTTTTCTGTGTATTTTCTTTCTTATATTTATGTGTTAGTAGTGTTGTCGCCCTCCTTTTTCTACTTCTTTTTTCCCTTTTTAATCAAAAGAATGGAACAGAAAGCTTGTCAAAATAAATTCTTCATGAAAATTTTTATGACAAAAATCTATTAAATGATTCCATTTCCCATGAAAGACTGACATAGCCTTTGTTTATATCCATGTAAAGACAACATCAAAACCTGTCACATGATTTATGTTTTCAGGTGGGATGTAGGATGCAGAGCATTCTAATGTGTCAAGACACTCACGATTCATAACTTTCCTAGGTCAGATTGTATTCTGCAAACAGTATGTCCATGCATGCACATTTTGCCTGCTTTTTGGATAAAAATAGTTTATGAAAAATAATTGGAACCAGCCTTAATTGCTATTTCTCTTATTACACGTCCCTTTTTCTGATTTTACCTGTTTATTAATGTCATTAAAATGTGCTCTACAGATTATAGACCTTTGATCTTATTGGTGGGATTTTCATTCATTTCTTCAATGTAGGACATTGGACTATCCTCCAAATTCAATTAGAGTCTGTAAATCAAGAATCCAACCATGCAAACAGCATCATATAGCCATCCTTTATTCTATATCACTTGCAGGTGTTTAGTCCCATTCCTTAGTTCTTTGTTATTTGCAATGATGTTTGTTTTATTCAATTTATAGTAATTGGCTTACATATGACACATATTGCAGAAACTTCTCAAATGTGAAGACTAGTTCATTAAGCTTTCATGCATCAAATCATTCTCAACTTTTTCCCGAATGTGCATTCAATAGGAGAACACAGAATCATGCATTTCCCACTCCTTTGAAACAGAGCAGGCTGTTGGTTCTTCCAAACACAAGCGATGGCTACCCATCTGCTTCTGGAACAGATGCTGAAATAAACTCAAACCATGCTCCTAATGGAAGATCAGACACAATTCTCAGCAATTGGTCTCCTCCAAGGTACTTGTGGAGGGGATTATCAGTTCCTATCATTACAGGACAGGTAATCATGAAGATTTTAAAGGGAAAGATTCATTGGGTGAATACTCTTCAACAATTGGAGAGAGTTGGTCCGAAATCAGTTGGGGTCTGTCTCTTAACTTCTGCATTTGTTGGCATGGCATTTGCAGTACAATTTGTTAGAGAATTCACTAGGTTAGGATTAAACAGATCAGTTGGTGGTGTTTTAGCTCTGGCTTTCTCAAGGGAGCTAAGTCCAGTAATTACATCAATTGTGGTTGCTGGTCGAATCGGAAGTGCTTTCGCAGCAGAATTAGGCACCATGCAGGTTTCTGAACAAACTGACACATTGAGAGTTCTTGGTTCTGACCCTGTTGATTACCTGATAACTCCAAGAGTGGTTGCCACATGTATTGCCCTACCTCTTTTGACTCTATTATGTTTTACACTAGGATTGGCCTCTAGTTGCGTCCTTGCTGAAGGTGTTTATGGTGTGAGCATTAACATTATCATGGATTCTGCTCGGAAAGCTCTCAGATCATGGGATATCATTAGTGCAATGATCAAGTCGCAAGTTTTTGGTGCCATCATATCGATAGTGAGTTGTGCATGGGGAGTCACCACTTTAGGTGGTGCTAAAGGTGTTGGAGAATCAACAACATCAGCTGTGGTTATCTCTCTTGTAGGCATATTTATTGCTGATTTTGCTCTTTCTTGTTTCTTCTTCCAAGGAGTAGGAGATCAGCTAAAGAATTGCATATAAGTTGTTATCGGTATGCCTGCAACTCTGCACTTCTTGTTATTATTATTATTATTTTTTTTTGGGTCTGTTGCGACTTTGCTTACTTATACAAAGTGAATCTTCTATTCAATTCGCCTGCTATATCATGCATTAGTTCTTGTCTTTTATCAGAACCTTCCTTAGAAAGATATACTGTGGTTTCATGAATCATGTTCTATTCTGGAAGCAATTAAGATAATATCTATTTCCCCACGGCACTATTTATTCACGGGTTGAGCTCCATGTTATGTTTTGGGTTTCTAATTGTTGATTACATTAGCTTGAAGATTCACTGAACAAAATCTTGGAAATGGAGATGTGCTCTGTGAGTATAATATTTTCCTGGTAAAAGTATTTATGTACATTAAAATCCAAAACCTTGAAGTCTCCTGGAAGTCGAAATTGTATATGTAGCTTTAAGACGCCAAGAAATCATAGAAGAGGTGGTACTCGGCAGATCTGTGTTCTATTTGCATGATACTTGTAAGATATAAGAACCATGATTCCATGCTTTCTTTTGAGGGAAAGCACTGGATGATCCTGCTAAACTCAACTTTTGTTGTTCTTCCATTTATTTTTATATGTATATAATCGAAGGTAAAAAGCTAATTAATAAATGAATTTTATACATAAAAATTAAAACGTTTTATTAGGATAACATCAATCTTACATTTATAAATTTTTTTTGGGATTAGTTAATGATAGATTATAGTGATATTATGTAATCTGTGCAGCGTATCTTGCTTGGTAAGATAAAGTTGGTTGTTGTTGAGATTTACAAAAAAGAAAGAAAGAAAGAAAAACTTTGCTTTTTCTTATGAGAGAGCACAAAATCAATAACCACAATTTAAGGGCTGTTCCTGATGTTGTGTATATGCTTAAAGCTCAACATTTGGGGTGGCCCAAAAAAAATTGAAGATGGTGGGCCCCTTTGGTTATTTGTATAAAATGCTTACGTGATATGAGGTCCGTTTGTTTTAGCCTATTTTATTAAAAAAAAAACTTTTTTTTCAGACAAAAATTTATTTTGTAAATTTTTATTATGTTTGTTTAAACTTTTAAAAATAAATAAAATAAAAAAAGAATATATTTTTTAGGTTATTTTTAAAAGCTACTCAGTAGCTTATGAAAATAATCTATGAAAAATGATAATAAAATTTTTTCAAATTATATAAATAATAATTTAGTCATTTGAAATGCTATAATTTCATTGAATTTTTTTTAAAAAAATTGTGTTAATAAATTTTAAAATGAAAAGGCCATTTTACTTTTATTAATAAGTTGTAATTTTTTATTTAATTTTTATCATTTTTTGAATAAAAATTATTATTCCTTAAACAAAAGTTGTAATTGGGGGTTTATTATTTTTAGAACTTGATTTTCAATAATAGAAATTATATTTGATAAGTTGTGATTTTTTATTCAAATTTTACGATTCATAAAATAAAAATTATTATTCTTTAAGTAAAAATTATAATTGAAATTTGTTATTTTCAATAAAAGTAAAATAATATTTTTCACTTTAAAATTCATCAACAAAGAAGTCTTTAAAAATTTTATAGAAATTATAACATTTTAAATGATCATATTGTTATTTATATAATTGGTAATTACTTCCCGTGTGTTGCACAGGAGCGTTTCCTTATATCTAATACTTTTAAGATATTATTTTAAATTATTTAGAGTTAAAATAATTTTTTGGACTTACTTCTTGTAATTTAAGCATTTCCTTACATGCAATTCTTTTAAACAAAAGTATGAGAACATTGCATTTGATTGACTTTTGTGTTTGATACAAGTGAAATATGAAAATAATAGTACTATCATAAATTAGATGAGCATTTGGAATGTACAAAATAAAATCATTATGAATTATTTGAATGACTCATACTGTACAATTGGGCTAACAATAGTTTATTGTGTTAAATATTGACTATCAATAAAATGCCTTTAGAATTACATATTCATAACTGCCATTTGGGCTTGATAATAGGAGGCGAAGTTAAGATTTAAGAATAAAGAAAATTAAAATTTAAAAAAAATATATTTTATAAATTTTAAAGGAGCCGAAAATATATATAACTTATATAGTATAAAAAAAAGTTTAAAAAATTAGAGGAGCCACGGGCCCTACTAGTCTCCCCCTCCTTCCGCCATTGTTGATAATGTTAATTAATCATTCATTTACTTCCCATTGTTGATAATGTTAATTAATCATTCATTTACTTCCCTATATGTTGCACGGGAGCCTTTACATTATGATTTTAACAATAAAGCATTATATTACTTTCATATTTGAAAATACTTAAGTTTCATGAATCTATATATGAAGATGGTTGTTTAGCATCATTTACTCAGGAAAAATATATTTAAATAGTCATTAAACATCATGATTTATATCATGATCAATTAAAAATACATAACGAATAACAATAACTATAACCATAAAAGAAGTAATGTTCTCAAGATGAATTAACATATGGTATTATTGTATTTGAATTATCTCTATACTTGATACAAATGATATGAAAATAATTTTGTTGTCGTAAATTAGATGAACATTTGAGATGTAATAATATTATACTTTTGTACCATTAAATTTTGAAATCATGTTTGCTCATCACCCTCCCATGGGGAAAAAACAAAGAGGGATTTGCTACATGTACATCTTCCATGACATTATTTTTGATGAGCTATTAAGAATAGAACTACCCTAAATAAATTATACCCTTCACATTATATAAGAAAATTTTGTTTGTCTTCCTTCAAAAAGTTCAATGTAAAAAAATAAAATATAATTTACCCGCTCATTTTCACTTGTTCTTGTCACCTAACATGGACTTGAATAATGCAAGGTACTTGATATTTCAACTCAATGTATGATACTATTTTTATACTCACCTTCCCTTTATTATTTTATCCCTTTTATTTTCACGATATAATTTTATCCCATCACTCATTCAACTCAACAATCATCAAAAATTTTTCCTTTTATCTTTTTTTTATTTTTTAAATTCAACTAAAAAATTATCAAAAATTGGCACTACATGTTCACGATGTTCAGCTACTTCAGTATCAGGCGATAAGTGTTCTAAACTTGCTTATACAGAGGTCCCTTTTGGTTTGTGAGAACCAGCACTTGTTTCATTAGTCCTTATGTCTTTTTCACGTCATTGTCATCCTTGTTACATAAGTCCCACCGGGCGTGCCAAAAATTATTCGTGTGTAAACAACAAATACCAAGCGTGCTAGAAATGTTAAGTCTCAATTGATAATAAAAGGATCCCAAGTTCTCTTATCACAACTTACTCGGATGTAAAAAGATAAAAGGCTTTAATAAAACAAGTGTTGAATGCTATTGAAATGTGAAAAGACTATAGACCTAAAAAACTGAAAAGTAAAAAGGACTAACGAATGTAAAATTGCTAGTCTTTAATTGAGTATTGACTAGTTTCTTCTGTATTTTCTTCTTTTATGTATAGTGTCAGAGAAGCAGTAGCCTATTCCTTGAAACCTAGCACATTTTGCCGAAGAATCAGGGATCTCACAAAACTCATGGCACGGTCTTTATTTTGTATGCTCTATTTTGGTAACCAGCCTGTTTCATCGAGATACTTGGGTATAGATTTTGGTATTACTTAAGATCGTGTCTTCGTACTAACGATCTAATATTTGCAATTGACGAGATTTTGACACGTTTACTTATTGTGGCCTTTATTGAGTCTCGAGGCCCCTTTCGTTTATATTGAAATTGAGGCTTCAATTACTCAGCCCAATTAACCTTGTGACTTATTTGAGCGACATTTTATATTTAGCCCAAACAACTTAATACAAATGATATGAGAAAATAATTTTGCTGTTATAAATGAGATGAACATTTAAGATGTAATAATATTATACTTTTGTACCACTAAATGTTGAAATCATGTTTGCTCATCACCCTCTCATGGGGAAAAAACAAAGAAGGATTTGCTATATGTACGTCTTCTGTGACATAATTTTTAGTAAGCTAATAAGAATAGAACTACCCTAAATAAATTATACCCTTCACATTACATAAGAAAATTTCATTTGTCTTCCTTCAAAAAGTTTAATGTAAAAAAAATAAAATAAAATTTACCCACTCATTTTCACTTGTTCTTGTCACCTAATATGGACTTGAATGATGCAAGGTACTTAATATTTCAACTCAATGTATGATACTATTTTTATACTCACCTTCCTTTTATGATTTTATCCCTTTTATTTTTATGATCTAATTTTATCCCTTCACTTATTCAACTAAGCAATCATCAAAAGTTTTTCTTTTTATCTTTATTTTTTATTTTTTAAATTCAACTCAAAAAGTATCAAAAGTTTCTCTTTTTCATCTTTATTTCTTTTATTTTCAACCTAAATTTTTTTTATTTGCTTCCTCATAAACTTACCTCGTTATTTTGGTGCTTCAGTATGTATGATTATTACTGGCCATTACTAAAATAAAAAATTCAAATAATTTATAACCTTCTATTTTTACTTGAACTTCAATATTTCAATTGCTACATTATAAAATATTTTTTATATTTTTTTCAAGATTAAAATGAATAATTCATCTAATGTTAAGTCGTATTGTTTTGTTTTGGCCATAATAAAACCAATATATGATAATTAAATTAATTATTACAGAAGTCATTCTTCATGATTCATGAATCATGTTATGCAGTGAATTAATTTCCTCTCACTTCCTTTACTTTTCCTTTCAAAATGGGACATTTAAAACAGAGTTGCCTACATCATTTTATTATCAACTCAAATTAAGTTGACGGCCTTTTGACTCTTTCATGGCACCGTATACGATCCCAAGTAGTTTAACACCTTGCTTACTTTATCCAAAACTAGAAATTACTCTCCGTGCGTTGCACGAGAAGAAAAAACTTTAAGAACAATTTAACCATTTTTTTTCTCCCATACAAATGAGACAAAAATATTACATTTTATAAAAAACCCAACATATATGCAATTGTTAATTTATAATACAGTACACGGCAATTCATAAACAGAATTGCATTTTTGATGAATTTAAATTACCATAATACATAACTTGGCATATCAATTTTAGTTTAACATGTACGATAACAAAATGGACTACAATCTGCCTCCTCCTCTTGTTAGGTCTTAGAAAATCCCCTTATAAACAATGTTTGTAGTTTTAGACTTTGGTTATTTATCACTATCATGTGTCAAAATCTTAAGACCATCCATGGTCTTCACTCTAGAAAGAGCAACATGTAACTGACCGTGAGTGAAAGCAGGTTTTGGCAAATACAAGCCAATATAACTTAGTGATTGACTTTGACTTTTATTGATAGTCATTGCAAATGAAAGAGTGATGAGGAATTATTATCTTTGCATGTGAAACACCCATTTGCTCTCGAAAAGATTCATATCCATTCTATAGATGAAAACTTTTTTATCTCACTTTCATCATCAATTTTGCTTTGAGAATTTATTGAGAATTAAGAATATTTTAAATTAAGTCATCTGTGGAACCAACAATTATGATAAATTTGACTCAGCATATATTATGATCAACTTGAATATTGCATCTGAACATAACCATTAATTTTAAAGTTACAAGATCGTAATAGATAGATTTTTAAAATACAGTGACAGTGAATGGCGTCAAATATTTTGGACATTATTTATATGAATTTTGGTAAGCATTTGTATGAGCACATAGAGAAGCTATAATGAGAATAATTTATATGAGAATCTAATTTTCTTATTTCATTGACACTCAATTAACTCAACAGAGAATCGTTGAGGAAAATATGACTAATTATTTATACGAAATTGTGTCAGCAATTGTAGGAACACATGCAAAAATAACATGAAGTGCATGACATGTCCTCTATTAATAAGTAATTTATATTGGATACATTACTTACATGACGCAAACCTAAATGAGTCCTTATGAAATATGAGTTCTTGCCTTTAATTATGCATGTATACTTTTGATTGTTGACCCACACATCAATCAAAGCTGCACCATTGCACAGAACACAAATAGCTGATTTGACACTGTTTTTGAAGTGAAAAAAGAAAGCGAAATATAAATGAAGAGAACGTTGGTTTCTCAAAACCAAAACCTGAAGATGGGAAATTCAGTGTACACATATGAAACTAACACAAAATAGGAAACAAGTGCATTTAATAAAGTAATACTTCAGGTAGCCACACAGGCTTTAAACATGAAGAATATTTCTAGTATTGTGTTTGATATCTTACGGTCTGACCAAATTATTATGAGAGACCAAACCGAAAGCATGCATGAAGAAGATCCCCGAAGTGCTAAACCATGTCAAATGAATATGGCGTGAGAAACAATGGCTCTTGAAAACAAAAGGTGGAAAGCAAGTCTCATCCAAGGACAGCATATGAGCTGCGAAAACAGAAAAAGAAACATGTTCAGAGAATCAAAAAAATATGGAAATTACCTTCTTGATGACATAACTCAGTATTATTATTTGAAGCAAAAATATATATGGTAATGAAATTATCCTCAAACGTGAAATAACCTTAACATCATCGGTCAACACGTAAAAAGCCTGATAACAAAACATGCATGCTACTAATGGTGGCAGGATGAGTTGTCTAGAATTGGAAATGATGCACAGTGACAGGATAAAATATCAAACACCACATGCAAAGTATCAAGGATGGTGTAAGAATTTTCACAAGAAGAACATGACAGCAAAACTTCTATTGAGAAAGTTGGTAAAGCAGTGCGGTCAATCTTTAACCTTCTAGGATCTTATATTCACTTATAAGATATACAGCCTTGTGCTACGTGTTAGGAAAAGTTAGCTATAAGCAATATTGGTGTATATATTGGTTTTACGTTCATAAGAGAAAATAAATGTTGTTCTCCCATTAAAATGATAGGAGCGCAAATATCTGTTAAAGGCATTTAGGCAAGATACTCTGAGAAGTCAGTCTGCTTTCTGAAGCAATGCTAGTAGATAGGTATATGAGAAAAAAACCTAGACGAATGATATACGAAGACTACGAGTAGCAGATTTCCATGCCATTATGCCACCTTTGTTTATTGTTGTTAAGAATTATATGTCTAGTCTACATCCCATGGTGCATGCATGGCACTACAAAATTAATGGTGTAGAAAAAGTAGATCAAAGTGTGAAAAAAGAATCGATTCCCTCTACAGAGTCTGCCTTGAAATAAAAAGAATTATGAAGTAAACTTTATACTCTATGTCGTCGTCGGACAGACTTTACAGTAGGTAGGCACTGCATTTTACTATATCTATACAAGTGGTATTAATGAAGTAAGTCAGCATAAGTGAAGATCTTTATCACTATATGCATATAAGTTTGACCAACAAAGAAAGCTAGTTCAATAAAGCCTTTTTTAATAATATCCGTGTGTATGAACGAAGAGGCTTAAACCCAATAGTGATAATGATTAGTCATAATCAAATTGTGCAACAGGTTGTAAATAAATAAATGTGAGACCATTTTCCTGTCAACTATACAAAAATAAAATTTCATATAATTCACTTGTCAACCTTGTTAAAATAAATAATTTTGAGCAATAAGGAACCCACTCCAATCCGCAAGTTTTTTTTTTTTAAAGAAAAACTGTGTGTGAGAGAATGTCTTAAGCCCAAAAATGATAATGAGAACGAATGAACTCATTGTCAGCAACCAAATTTTTGTACTATTTTTCTTTTCTCGACAATAATTTTTAAACAAATATTATTGATTACTAATTTATTTATAAAGGTACAATATGGATGTATGTAAAAAAAACATGATGTGACTATTCCTTCCAAATACCATTCTTGATATAATTTTGAGCTGTGAAATTTGACCATTTCCGTGATCTATGTTTTCTATTAAATACAAACACACACACATTCCACATATTCCTAGCTTAGACCTTTCTTGTATCTTATGTCTCAATTAAACACATACATACATACATACATATGTTTCGCATATTAATGGCTTTGAAATGAAATTAACGTGCATGCACTTTGTTAATTCCTCATATATATCTGGATAATATTTTTGGCTTTATTGAAATAATAACTAAATGCTCGACTCTATTAATTTCACGTGGCAAACGTTTGGACAGATTGTTAATTATAAAACTATTATTTCAAATTTGCTTGGCATGGTTCATTAATGAATAGTCATTTCATTTTTTTTCTGCAAACAATATCAATTGAATTAATTATCTGTAAAAATGATAATGAGTAGTCATTATCATTTTTACAGATAAGTCATTATCAGATGGATGTTAAGTTTTCATTGAAATTAGGCACTTGCTTCTTGCTTCTTTTCAATATTTTTTAAAAGAAATATTATCATTCAGATGCATTGAAGAAAACCAATTCATGGCTAGAGATGATCAGAAATTGGTACGTCTTTTTTAAACAATAAAAAAAAATCCGTTGCTATTCTTTAAAATTGGTGGATATAAAACAGAGGGTTAAAATTTCATGGAGATAGCAGTTCTATTTTTTAAACAAAGATGATGAGATATACCATCTCTGTTAACACATACAAGCTTCGCCAACCAAGAAAAGCAAGTCCGATCCAAATTTCAACATTATCGAAAAAAGGAACATCAAATATGTACATAAGTCCAGCTATAACAAAAAAAAAAAAACATTAAGCTATTGCACGATCCATAAGCACAGATGGTCTGTAATGGATTTTAAAGCCAACATCCATTGGTATATACAGAATCTGAATATGACTTCTATATGCCTCACATGATATGGCAACCTCTACTAACCTTCGCCTACAAGACCCTTCGAACATCATGAAGTTTTAGGAATTTGTCCAAATATACCTTCGTTGCATTAGCAAAATTCGTGAGGGAGGTCAGTCTTGCGAAAATGGAAGAGAAGGATTCAGGAATAATGAACCAAAAGCATAGTTAATTGTAAAACTACAAGTGATCTTTTTCCATATGCGGAATACCTTACCGGAGTCTCTCTTGACAAGATCGTACTGAACAACCACAATGAGGTCAGGCTTATCTTTCTTCTCTTCAAAACTGGTCCACGCAGCAATTGCAGGATCACCAAACAGAGTGCACTCGAGCTTATCGCTGCTGAAAATGGAAAGATACAGTCTTTCATGTCCAAAGCTCCATAGGATGTTAATAGAAAAATGTAAAAACTATTCCTGAAAGAGATACTCAATCGACTGTCCTCTACTACAAATTCCAGCCCCTAGGTCAGCATACCTCCATCTTCATACCAATCGTATATAACCATCTCTTTCAAGAAACCACAAACATCTGCATCAGAGAATTAATAGAGTATTTTCACAGAAGTGACATTGTTGATACAGTGAAGGAAACAGAAAAAATTAAATGAATGTACTAATCGCGTGCTCACAACTCAGCCCACCACTCATACCTGAGTTCCCGAATAGGCTTCACCTTGAAGCAATGGGAAGGAATGAATTACAGAGTGCTCCACCATCTCGGTGCGCTCGTCCAACTCCAAGTGAATCTTTCGATGCACTCCAAGACCTTCAGACCTAACTGAAAAAATGAATATAGTAGGTCTTTGTCTCTTCAAGCCTATTACAAACCTCCTAATGTTGGCATCTCCAAAAACAGAGATTGATCATGCATGTCCCTTGGAAAGATGAAGATTTTTAAATGCAAGTGAGGATATTTGATTAACATGACTGAAAAAAGATGGCGAAACAATTCACTGCAGGGTCGAATACATTGGAATCCTCAGATAGAACCCTCTTTGGGCACCCCATATCTCTGTCGTACACGTCAAAGTCTGTCCTCAAGTAAGCCCCGTCCACCTTCACGAAGATCCTATAGTCACCAGAGGAAGGCCTTAAAGCATCAAGACTGGCAAAGTCCCCGAAATCCATCTCCATTCTTGCGTGCATAAGCTTGGTGAAGAAGAACAAAGAAAGCTCACACAAAACAAAGAAAAGCATTGTCCAAAAAGTTATGGAGCGTCTCTTCTATTTACACAAAACGAATGGTGCATTTAATGGATTTAACTAACCGCTGTGTATGGGTGTAAATAAACCAAAAGATCTGACTTCCTAATATGAATAGACAAAACAAATGAAAGACAATAAAATACGTTCATCTTCCTTTATGAACGCAAGCATTAATAACAGCCATCTTACACAAAGAATGAACGACTTTGATCCTTCCATTTGTTTGAAGAAAATGAACATGCGTTGATTATATTTAAACTTGCATTCATAAACCCCCCCCCCCGAGATCGAAGAAACTAATGGATTGCATCCCAAAAATGGGTAGCCATGTTGAAGCATTAACACCACTTCAAATGGATCTTTGTTAAGAACATGCGACTCCACGAAAGTGAAAGACGGCTCCACCGATGTGCAGATGTGAGAGAATAACAGAGATGGGTTGTAGTGCTGTTATCTATGTATCTTCTTCATTCATATTGTATTGTAGAACAAAGCATTAAACACGAAGCCCCAAAAATTTTAAATGGCTAACCCTAGCCATTTTTGTAGCCGGCACTGTTCACAAAGCTGTTTTCCTTAGACAGCTTGATGACAATGACATCTTACCTCAGGAGCCGGTTATTAAAGCATGGCTGGGTGGAACTACTTTCTGGTATATATTGACTCACGGTGCATGGAGATTGAAGTAGCGACTCACACAATTTAACATGTAAAAAGTAAGGATAGAGTCTGGGGCTGCGCATGGAATGTCTCCGTTTACCAATTCTCTTTTTCTCCTCCATTCCTTCAAAACGACAGCGTTTGACTCATTAAAAAAATACAGGGGGGAAAAAGAAAGCAATTGGGAAGGGGGACCCTCTCCTTGTTAGTACCACCCCTCTTCTTCGAAGATGCCAAAATGATGAATGAAGCTAGTAAGGTGAAAATCCAGGGAAGGGAAGAAGCCACCGTCATTTGAAAGTCTTGAGGAGGAGGATGATTTAAGTTTTTTGTTCTTCTGGCAACCGCCGCCAATCCAAATGTTACGCAAGGCTCCGCCTTTTGTCCAGTGTCCTCGACAAGTCTTTGCAGAATTTAGTGTTGGGCCAGTCACATCTTGGGCACTTTAGCCCTTGCTTCACCTGCATCGCCGCCACCAAGGTGCTTTTCCGAGCACCTGAGCCCTGGCTCTCGTCGTTCGTCGTTATTACTGCCACCGGAGCTGAGAAGGTCGGGAAGAAAAAAAAAAAGGGTGAAGAGAGGAGTATAGTAGTCTTCTGATGTGGGAAAGATTTAGGGACTGTTTAAAATTATTTTTATTTTATTATTTTAAAAATTAATGGTTTGTAAAATATATTTTAAAAATAAAAAAATAATAAAAATATGTGTTTTTTTAATTCTTTCTTATTTTTTAGAACAATAATCACAAAACACTTAAAAATTATTTTTATTTTTTTATTTTTCAGAATAATATTTTATTTTTTTATTTTTTAAAACATTTTTTAAAAATATATTATTAAATAATTTTTTTTTGTTTTCTTATTTTAAAAAATAAAAAACTGTTTTTAAAATAGATTTTCAAACATATCCTTAATTTTTTAGTTTCTTTTTGTTGAGGCAAACATCCTTCTTAGATTAATTAAATGAGTCCATGCATTATGATGGGAGAAGAACTCAAGAACAGCGGCGGTGCCAGCTGCTGAGAAGGGGAATGATCGAATGAAGGCCGACAAGGAGAGGGTCCCCCTTCCCAGTTGTTTTCTTGTTTTTTTTTTTCTCTTTAATAAACCAAACGCAGTCGTTTTAATGAAGTGGAGGAGAAAAGCACATTTGGAAAGTGGAGAAACCCCACGCCCGATTTTATCGCACATGCATACCTCAAAAACTTATATTATTTTATAACCATTATCTTCTTCTACACGCTGCCCAATGTTATAAAATGAACTAAAAGCAATCGCACAAAGAGCTGGTACTGTTCACAGAGCCATTTGAAACTGTGAACACTAACTTTGTGAGAGAAGCTGGCCCCACTTCAATGGCTTGGTGAAATTACTTTATGGGATATATTGATTTGAAAAGATTTTACTGTCAGTTTTTTAATAATCTAATATAATAAATAAAAAAATATATTTTAACAAGATAAAATACAGAAAAATATAATAAAATTTTTAAAATAATATAATAATATATCATTTTCATAAAACAAAAATTAAAGAAGATATTGTAAAATTTAAAAATAACTAATTAATAATCACCTTTTTAATACTGTAATCAAACATAAAATAATGCTTTTTTCTTTTTATAAAATCTCTACAAAATAAATATCATTTTATAAAATCTATAAACTATTTAAAAAAATCACTTATTTTTAATATTAAATAAATGGGCATGTCTTAAAATATAATTTATTTTCATTTTTAAAGTAAACAAAAATAAAATTAAAAAGATTGAGAGTAAACACTATTAACAAAAGATGGCAAATGAGATCAATGGCCAAGTGGCAAAAGAGATTGGTGGAGGAGAATGGTTGATGGTGGTTAGTGGTATAGCAGGGTTGATAATTGATGGCACTGGAGTATGATGATCAACAAAGCAAGATGGTGACTGATAGTAGATGAAAGTGGCCGGTGCTGAAGGATGGTGATCGGCACTGAAGAACAATTCATGGTCGCTCATGGCGGAGTATGGGGGCTAGTAACAAAGGACGGTGGGATTAGTACAATTGGATGATGTCAGATATTTGATAAGGGAGAATGATGAGTAGTGACTTTGTAAAAATGTCAATGTCAAATTAAAATTTTAATATTAAAATACGATATGAGTATTAAAATTTGAGAATTACGTGTTGAATAATTTTAATTTGATATTAATATTTTTTATAAAATTCTTATTTATCATTCTCTCATTTGACAATAATGGCTGGTGTTTGGCCATGGAAAATGGTGCTTGATGGTCATAGAAGCTGGCTAGCAACAAGGAATAGTTGATACTCACTTTTTTTTAATGTAAATCAAATAAAAATTAATAAAACAACATAATACCAAAAAAACAAAAAATTAAGAAGAGTTTAACATCTTGCCAAATTCAAAGTGAAGGCAACAGTTGAGGGGGGTAGTTCTACTACAAGACCAAAAGGAGGATGTGGTTTTAGTGCTCAGTGCAGTGATGAACACTGCATTGAGATTTGGACCATTCAAATATTGATCTGAATGGTTCAGATTTAAAATACTATTATATTTTATGTTTATTAAAATAAAATTTTATAAAAATTATAAAATAATTTTAATAAATTTTTTATTTTTAATATGATTTAGATTTAATTTGGAGAGCTCAATTGATATTAAAATTTTTATAATTGATGTACATTGATTATCTATATTAACTATTTAGATGTACTCTGCACTATCCAGATCTAATTTGGTGTTAATATGGACTGTGCAAAATATATCTAGATAGTTAATGTAGATAAATTATAAAACTCTTAATATTAAATTGAATCCTCCAAATTAAATTTAGATCATATTAAAAATAAAAAATATTAAAATTATTTTATAATTTTTATTGTAATAAATATAAAATAAAAATGTATAATATTACTTTAAATTTGGACCGTCTAAATTGGATAGTCCAAATTTTATCACAATGAAAAGCACCATAATACTCATCACTGTGATGAGCATAGAAATCAATCCTAGATGCACTCACATTTACAATTGCTCCCATACGTCAAGACAAAATCATGCAAGATGATTTTTTTTTTCTTTTTTGAATTAAGTTGCCTCTCAAAAAAATTTCAATTGCTCCCATCACCTCAAAAGAAAAAAAAAATCATTTATCTGGTGATTTAAGAGAAAATCATTCACTTGTCCCTTTAAAAGTTTCATTTATCTCACTGTAAAATTTATGACAATTTTTTATTTTATTATAATTTTATTTTTTTTCAATTTTTTAGTATTTAACTTTATTAAATTATACTCGTAATATAATTTCATAAATATTTAAATTTAATTTTATAAAAAATATAACTATTTATTTTAAGTATAAATTATGTCCTACTAATTCATTTGTTTTTTTGGGTCCATCGCTAGTTAATAGTAATCGAAGATCAAATTTTGAATAGATTCTTCTCAAATGGTGTTTAGAATGAGAGACATATATAGAATATCTCATGGCACAATTTTTTTTTTTTTTTACCCTAGCAAATTTAGATGAGTTGGTTCCAAAAAACTTACCAAGGTGACAACATTTCTCCATATTTAAAAAATGCTTATAGAAGAATTTACAGATTACTTAATAACAAAGTCCTTACATCGATAACGAAATTTGATCTATTATCTTATATGTCGCACCCGGAAAAATGCGACGCGAACGGCGCGCGAGCGGAGGTCCCGGCCTTCGCGGCGGGAACCGGATCGAACGAGGAGTCGCCACCAAGATTTTGAGGTAAATCTCGGGAAACCGATTAATGGAAGATAAGGGTGATCTGCAAAATCAGAGAATAGGTTCGGGAGTCGGTTGAGTGTGGGGAAGGTGTTAGGCACCCCACAACACCCGTTCGTGAGAACAGTTACCTGAAGTTTGTTGTGCTCTATTAATATGGTTTTAAAATTATTTTAATTATCCCTTTTATATTCATGTGTCTGATATAAAAATGATGATAATTGAGTGAGAAATGTTTATTTATTTACGAGGGAGGACGGACTTGACTCAGAATCTGACTCTGAGGCCTACGTACCCTGTGATGGGGATCAAAGTCCACGTAGTTCAGGCTTAAAAGTTTGTCGGTTAAAAATATTTTTTGAAGAGAAATTAATTAGAAATAACTCACCATTTTGCAAATAAAACAATTTCTGAAATTTTGATATGTGTGTTTTAAATTGCAAAAGGTAATTCAATTTTAATTATTTTCTCAATTTTTAAATTTTGAATAAAGAAATGAAAGGGTTTAAAATTATTTTTCTTATATTTTATGATTAGAAATTTAATTGCAGTACCTGTAGAACCTTATTGATTCATACGGTAATGCAATTGCTCTAAGTATCTGCGAAGATTCTGAAATCTCACATGATAGAAGAGTTTGGCAATTTAATTTATTTATTTATATTCTTATGTACATTTTAAGTATCAAAAATATATTTTAAGTATGTATATACATGTTTTGAAGAATTTTAATCATCATACCTGCAAAGCCTTATTGACTTATACGGTAATATGATTATCCTAAATATCTACGGAGATTCTAAAATCTCACACGAGACAGGAATTAAATTTAATTAATTGATTTAATTAATTATATAATATATATGTATATATATTTTAAAAACTAAATCGTTATATCCGCAGAGTCTTATTGACTCACACGATAATACGATGATCTTAGAAGCCTACGGAAATTCAAAAATTTCACGTGGCTAAAAGATATAATTGGTAAATATGGTTACAATTTAAATACATTTAATTTGGTTAATTAAGTTTCTTAAATTGTATATTATATGATTATTTGCAAAAATCACTTATTTATTACAAAAATTGAAAATCACTATATCTACGAGGACTTACTGTCCCACATAATAATGTGACTAATTTAAGTTCCTACGAAGATTCTTAAAATCTCACATGGAACTTAAATATTTAGTATAAAGAGAGAGTTAATTTTAATAATGGGCCTTTAGAACCCGTATAAGTATCTACAAAATTGATCCTCATACTTGTAAAATCTTATTGATCTTTATGGTATGAGATCATTTTAAATGTCTGTAAAAATTCTCAAAATCTCCTACTTTAAGTTTTAAAAAATATATATATATGTGCTTAGCATATGAGCATAAAAATAAATACGTATATTCGAGGCTTATTCATCTGGATATAAAATTCATAGAAGCAATTAATAAAGTGTGAACTAACTTTACCCACGCTCCCGCGATGCCCGTAACTGAGAAAGGAAGAGGAGATGAAGACACAGAGGAGAACGGAGTGCACAGTCAGTGATGGCAGTAGCCCCTGCAAACTGAGAGGAAACGACGAGGGATGAAGAAGGTGTGAGTTTGACGAAGCAGCGGTAAATGCTCACGCGGATGAAGGAGGAGAGAAAAATGATGAACGACGCAGAGCTTTAGGTGATTCTCTCCCTTTCCTTCCACACTTTCTCTCTCTCTCCAGTTGCTCTGTTATTCTTTTCGTCTCCAGTCTTCGTTCGTCCTCGTGCTCTCTCTCGGTTCTCCTATGCTCTGTTTTTACTTCTGATCTCCTTCTTCCAGTTTTTCTCGCCC